GTTTTATTTTTTATTTTTGTGGACAGCTGATTGTCCCACATTTCTTTTTTATGTTCACGTGTATTAGAACATGTCAGCTCACCAGGTAGGTGATATGTTTGATGAATCCTCTGAACGACTCGTCTGCAGGACTGACTGTGAGCTTCACGGACAGTCTTTCTCCTAAAGACACTGTGGTAGCTCCTGTGGAGACATGCAGGTAGTTCTTTTCATGGTCATAGGTGTTGTAGGGCTGAACAGTGAACTGTTGCTTTGCCTGCTGCTCTGGTCTCAAGCCATCCTGTGCAGTTTCAGCCTGCAAAACAGGAACAAACAAGTAGAAAAGAAAAAAGTATTAAACTGAGACCAATACCAGTAGCTAGAAATGTAACTAACTTATTAGCCTTTGTGACTTTAAATAAAAAAATAGATCACACACACAGGTAGAATCAGTGAGGTAGCACAGTCATACTAACAATGATGGTTTGTGGTTGATTATTCTTGGGCATGTTGATGGCAGCTCTGGTGGTTCCGGAGGACACGACTAATGGCGTGTCCAGCAAGTTCAGCTTAACCAGGACATTACGAGCCATGGAACCATCGTGGTGGCTCACCTGAATCTGGAAAAGATTGCTCTATCTTTTTAGATGCTCACTACAATATTTATTTGAACTTCAATAATTAATTCAAATAGAATGAAAATGCAGAGAAGGACCCTTACTGTGAAGTCAAACGGCAGGCCTGGCTTGAAGTACTTTGGTATGTTTTGGAACAATAAGACGTAGGGAGATTCCACAATTTTAATGCCAGACTTCTCGGCCTCAACCAGATCACTTCCTGTAATGATCATCAAACAATCCAAAATATATATATAAATAACCACTGACGTAATTAATGTTGTGAACAGAGAATCTAGCCCTGCATCAGACTAGTGACATGTCCAGGGTGTACCCCACCTGGTTCTAGCCCCTCTACGCCCCTGATAAGAATTAGTAAAAGAGAAAGGATAGATGCATGGTGGAACACAGAATCAAAAGGTTCTTGGAGAAAAGAGTTCTGTGCAGTGTGGAGGTGCAGTAAAGGTGAACCATTTCATGTCCATTTTCAGTTATTGTTGCTTGAGCTGTTAGTTAGTACTGCAGCAGATAAACAGGATTTTGCTTTTCAGCATTTTAACTGTTTTTCCCGGCAGCAGCAACATGATCTACATTTCCAAATAATATGATGCTAAAGAGAGTCAAAGGTTTTGATT